TCTTAAAGCAAACACTCAGTATTTCCCTGTTGAATATGATGTTAGTTGTGGGTATGTCATATTATTATGTTGAGGTATGTTCTGTCTATCCTTACCTTTCTGATAGATTTTGTTATAAATGGGTGCTGGATTTTGTCAATATGCTTATTCTGCATTTATTGATATGATCTTATGATTCTTACCCATTTTATTTGTGAGATGTATCACATTACTTGATTTGGGGATACTGTATGAACCTTGTACCCCAGGAATAAATCTCACTTGATCATGATGTATAATCTTTTTATGTATTGCTGAATTTGGTTTACTAACATTTTGCTGAGGATTTCTGCATCTATGTTTATCAGGGATATTGGCCTATCACTTTATTTCTTTGTAATGTCTTTTTCTGGTTTTGGAATCAGAATAATGCTGACCTCATAAGATGGCATGAGAGTCATTCCTCCTCCTGAAAATTTTAGAATAGTTTGAGGAGGATAGGTATTAGTTCTTCTTTGAATGTTTAGTAAAATTTACCTTTGAAGACATCTGGTTAAGAACCTTTTTTTTTCTTCTTAATTTATTGATTTGAGAGTTGAGAGAGAGAGATGGGGGGAAGAAGGAAGGGAGAGAGAGGGAGAGAGAGACAGAAACATTGATTTGTTTTTCCACTTATTCATGTATTCATTGGTTGATTCTTATTTCTGTTTTGTTAATCCTCACCCAAGGATATTTTTCTATTGATTTTTAGAGAGAGTGGAAGGGAAGGGGAGAGACAGAGAGGGAAAAACATTGATGTGAGAGAGACACATCTATTGCTTGCCTCCCACATGCTCCCTTCACAAGAATCGAACCCAGGACCCTTCAGTCTAAGGGCTGACCTCCAAGCACTGAGCCAACCAGCTAGGGCCATTGGTTGATTCTTCTATGTGCCCTGACTGAGGATTGAACTTACAACCTTGGCATATCTGCTTGATGCTCTAACCAGTCAGGCCTAGAACCTTTGTTTTCTTGGAGAGTTTTCTTTCCCTCCAAATCAAAACACGGCTTTTTTGCATATTTAAAATGTCACAAATAAGTCTGAAGAATGATTGGGCATCTTGCTGTTTCTATAGCTGGACAACGTAGGTCTTATTCATCAGCCTGTTAACTGTTCCTTTTTCAGAAATAGATATCATCCCAAATTTTCTGATATCCTTGTTTTTAACTGTTGTGACTTGCTGAATCAAAGCAGCTGAATTTGATACAAATTCATTGTCATGTCTATTAAAAATTAACTCATTTTTCTGGACTTGAGTTACTGAACAAGCAGCACTTGACCTCATCTGAAACCTGTGGATATATTTTTTGCCCAAGAAATTTCTGACTCCAATAAGAGAACCATTCTCCTGAATAACGACATTGATGGAGAAGTGAACATACACAAACCTCAACCTTGTAATGGAAGCCCATTGTAATATCCTTGATCATATTTTGTACATGACTGCAGATTGTGTGAATGGTGGCCAGTTCCTTTCTATTTTCCACCATCAGCCTGGAGCCTCTTCTTTTTCTTCCCAAGGAGACTGTATTCTAGATTGATATGGTTGAAGTTCTTCACAGGGTGCCTCTGGGCTTTTCACAGTCCCTTCAGAGTGATGTGGACATTTTCTGGAATGTCAACAGTCAGATTGCTGACAATGGTCTTCATCCTCATAGTAGATGCACAAAGAGAGTGTTGGAAGTTTTTCAATTACTTCTTTGATTTCATTGGTTTAATTGGTCTGTTCAGATTTTCTGTTTCCCTTTATGACTCCAGTCCACCCCCAGCAGCTGTTCTCTGGTAGAGACCAAGGTGATTACCATGTTTGTGCACTGACCCTTTAAGAGAGTGTTCCCACTGCTCACCATGGTGTGTGGAATCCTGCTGATTTTCACAGCCACATCCATGTGGGCTCTAGTGCTTTGGGCTAGGTAACCTGGCATGGGGCTGATGCTTCTCTAAGGGAACTCTCACCCAAAATAGCCCAAAGGATTCTCACCCACCGCACATGCCCTTCCTACCTGTTTCGATGCGGGTTCCTCTGTAAATTCTTAGTTATAAGCCTTCTGTTGAGATAGTGGACAGACGATTATTCAAGTTGATTGTTCCGTACTTTAGTCACTACTCTGATATGATCCTGGGAAGAGGTGAGTGTAACTTCCATCTATTCTGCTGCCATTTTCAAAGACTTTTTTTTTTTTTTTTTTTTTTTACTGATTTCAGAGAGGAAGGAGAGGGAGAGAAACATCAATGATGAGAGAGAACCATTGATCGGCTTCCTCCTGCATGACCCCTGATGGGGATTGAGCCACAACCCCGGCAATGTGTTCTTGGCCAGAATCGAACCCAGGACCCTTCAGTCCCCAGGCCAACACTCTATTCACTGAGCCAAACCAGCTAGGGCCTAAAGGTCACAGTTTTAATTGGGGTGTTCAGGGAATGATTAACTGAGATGGTGACACATAAGTGAAGATTTGAAGAAGTTGGGGAAAGCCATACATGTATTTGAACAAAGAACAATTTTTGCTAGAGGAAGAGAGAATAAAGGACCTAAAGAATTAATGTTCATTATTTGTTCATGGAGCTATTGATGAGAGAGAGGGGGGCGGGGAGGGGGAGAAAGAGGGAGAGAGAGAGAAAAACATCAGTGTGAGAGAGACACATCCATTGGTTGCTTCCCAAAGGCGCTCTGACCTGGGCTGGGGATCAAACCTGCAACCCAGGTACATTCCCTTGATTGGGAATCGACTTGTGATCCTTTGGTGTGTGGACCGATGCTCCAACCTTTGAGCCACATTGGCTAGGGCACCTATGTTGTTTAACATCTGGCCTTCTGCACTAATTTTTGGTATCATTCTGGCAGTAGTGACTTTTGATATCATTTGCATTTGTGACTTTTTTAGTATGCTAACTAGGAAAATGTCTCACCATTTCCGATAGGCAGCTTTTGTAATCAGAGTTTTAAAAATTGAGCTAATGCTCTACTTACTATTTTTGTTGACGAGATTGGGCTTCATTCCTGCTAAAAATGACAGTTCTGCAAACAATATTTTGGGGATTAAATCTTCTAAACTTTTTTTGGCCATATCCCTTTACAAAATGTCATTACAAAGAGGAGGACCTATGTAATACTTTCAACAATAAAGATTAAAAATAAATCATTACATCATAGCTCAATTCTAGTTAATGCCCTTTGGTGTTTATGAGGAACTGGATAATTTATAATCTAGTAGAAATTCCTTATAATGAAACAGCCTCATAATCACAAATTAATGTTTTAAGTTAAACACGGATCCCTTATCATTAATATAGCATGGCAATATACTGTTAGTAACATATCATACAGTAATATACTTATCATTAATAAAAGTCCACATAATTTGCCCTTGAAGCTTATAACCAGGTCCAAAAAAAATTCTGGATTTTAAACTTGATCAAATACCACTGACAATTTGAATAGAGTTTTTTTTTTATTATTATTAAATCTTTATTGTTCAGATTATTACATTGGTTCCTCTTTTTTCCCACCATACCTCCCCTCCA